TTTTTTTTTTTGTTTTCCTATTGAATTTCGTATCTCAAAAATTATTCGTTCGTTGAGTGGTATGAATTATGAGTTGGTGCCTTATCAGAATCGATGACTGTCCTGCTAATTATCATCCAAACTTCGTTATGCTTCCATTCATGTCGAAGTTCTAGCTGGAATTTGAACTTAAATAGGATGTCTATATCTGTGGGGTTTTTTTTCACCAGTTTTTTAAATTATAATTTGAGAAACTGGGCAAAAAAGACAAAAATAGACGTTACCGTTTCAAACAACTATTGATCTTGATACTCTATTATAATATCATATAATTTGAAAACTGGTGAAAAATCCTTACAGATACAGATATCCTATGTAAAGATTAATACCTGTTTGAAATGGTAACGTTTATTTTTTGCCTTGTCAAGATCCATGAGTGTTAACTGCTTTCGTTATGCTTTCATTCATATCGAAGTTCTAGCTGGGATTTGAACTTAAACGGAACGTTTGTATCTCTAAGGTTTTTTTTTTACGTTTCCAAATTATATGATATTGATACGACATGGCTGAGGTGATAGTATTACGAATCTCGATACTTTCCTGTCGTTTAGCAATAGTGCTTTGGTAAAATATGTTGGATAAGACAACGCTTTCGAACTATGCAGTTTTCTGTTGGTACTATTTTTTTGTACCATCCCTTTCTCTCCCCTTTTTTCATTGACTTTTTACTGAATGAATCAATAATTTTTGAAAATATAATTTATAATACCAATTGCGTATTAAAAACATTTAGGTGCAAGACAATTCACCTGGACAAGCTGCTGGACTGGAGCCATTTTTCGATTTTATCGTTTGTATTGGAAACACACGGCTGGTAATTATTTTTCATTTTTTTATTGTATTGCTGCCATATTGTAATATTCGCGACATTGTCGTGAAACACGACAATGTTACGAAAACCACAAGTTTCCAACTGTCAAATTATTCCGCTATACAGTTGTACATAGATTTCTTTAGAAAAAATGATGAACAGATTCGAGAGCGGTCAAATTTGCTATTTTCCGTATAGCAGGCATGCTTGAAATTTTTTGAATAGTTTTTCCTTTTTTTTTTACAATTCGATTTTCCCCAGTCTTTCGCACATCCATATGAGATGATATGTAAAAAGCGGATGCTGCCATGTTTGAAGATATCAGTAGTATCACGTTTTGGACATGGGAGGTGGAAGAAAATAATCATGTCTAATCGTCAGCAACTAGCTGTTTGTATAGTATTATGAAACATATTTCATCTCTAGTATTAATCTTCGCAACAAGTGGCGATTACTGACGTAAAAATCTGGGATGTTGTTATAGTTGGGTGAAAGACAAACCTTTCGAATAGTTTGGTTTATTTCAGGATTCAGATAATGATACTTTAAAGGACATCTTAAAACAGCATGTGGAACGATCGTTAGAACTAACTGTTTATAATAGGTAAGCTATTTATGCTCTTTTTAATATCTAAAGACATTCTAAATTTCCCATTTGATTCTATAACTTGTACATGATTAGTTGTCCGCTGGTATATTAATTAATATCACTGAAACATTGCTACTCCTTTCCTTGCTTACTCATCTTCTGTCATATCTTGCATTATCTTCTTGAAGTTAGAATAAGTGGTTATGGTTTTTCTTCGGGTATCTACATCTGATGTCCATATTTCCCTCACTAAAACGAGTACTTCCTTAGACTCATAGCCTGCAAATATTTCATATTTCTAGCAAAACTCAAACAGTTCGACAAACACAAATTACGCCATCACAAATGTGGGGTGGTCAGGGACTGCTCGGTATTTCAATTCGGTTCTGCTCATTTGAGGGAGCGCGTGAAAATGTTTGGCATGTTGTGCAAGTTCAGCCCAATTCACCGGCCGAAATTGCTGGTTTACAATCTAATTTGGATTATATACTTGGAGCAGAATCTGTTCTAAACCAGGTTTGTTAGTTCATTAGTTCATGGATGTTGAAACATCCATAAACTTTCTTTTTAAAATCTTTATTGTTGATTCATAACTTATGAGTTATAGAAATAAAAACAAGAATGAACTTGTGGATATGTATTTCAGTCTTTCCTTAAATTGTTTACCAACTAAAATAAAGTGTTACTTATAAAAACTGAAGATTTAATATAGGAATCCGCTTCGTGGAATTCTCAATTTGATCTTCCCTCATTAAAAATTATGCTTCATTAACTCTCCTGAGATTTATTTTGAGAGAATAAAATGAAGAAAAGGAAGAAAGTGACAGTAGGCGAAAAGAGAAAATATAGGTAACGATGGATTCTTACTGATCATTAATAGATGCCGTTTAGAATTTGTCAACGCATGCGAAAAAAGAGCACCGGCAGTAAAAAGATGGATTAATTATGTAATACTTTATTTAAGTAAAAATTAATCAGTGCTTTTCAATTTTTTAAGTGACTACGCGCTTTGATCTCTCAAGTGATTGTTACGAAATCTTATGTGAGACTGTTTCAAACTCGTATATTATTTTATTTAGGCTGATGATCTTATTGCCCACTTACAAGCAAACGAGGGGAAACCCATCAAATTGTATGTTTATAATACGGCGAGTGATTCTGTACGAGAGGTATGTCCCACTTTCCTGTGCTTATTGCATTAGAATAATGAAAGTAATTAACGATAGAGAGATGTCCCAACTCATTCAACACCATCTTTCAGAAGAGCATCAGTCAAGTATTGCTGTTGGGACTACAACTGCAAGTAAAAGATACGGTTTAAAGAATTAAAGTTCATGGCAGGAAATCATTTGTTTGCTGAAAAGTGGTATATCATGATGCATAGGAAATTATGAAAGTGGCCAGTTTCTTTGAATAATTGTTCATATGTTTGATTTTTTTCAGGTCTCGCTTACGCCTAACTCAGCTTGGGGTGGTGAAGGATGCTTGGGATGTGATATTGGTTATGGCTATTTGCATCGCATACCGGGTGATCGACGTGGTCCACTGAAAGGCGAGGAAATTGCCGAAATGCTTCAACAGCAGTTAAATGGTGCTGATTCATCAGATGCCGTGCCATTCACGAATACTGATAATTCGTGCCATTCTGGGCCTTCTACTACCGCAAACACTGCCATCAATATCCCTCAGCCAGGTATATTGCAACATTTGAACAGCTTCTTTAATTTTTCAAGTAGAGAATTTTCTGTTTAATTAGATCGGGAATATAAAAAATTTGAGCATAGCTTAAATTGTATAAAATTGACAGTATTGGTTTGTATGAATAAACACTACCACTTGTCAGCAGACTATAATGAGATTTTACAATATTTTCGCGGTGAATTCGATTATATAATTCGACCTGAACCTGAAGTAATTAAAATTTTTAATCATGTTGCGTAATGTGGTTGTCGTCCGTTTTATAATACCATTTATGTCAAGAATGTTCACACGATTGCTTGGTTTTATATTTATAGGCAGTACAGGTATTCCACAAATTGATTCAATACAAGTTGCTACAAAATTCCCTGATCCAAGTTCATTTATGCCACCAATTCTGAGACAGGTTAAGCTTTTCCGAATCACATCATATTTTCTGTTATATGTTCTGCTAGTGATACAGTTCAGCATTCCTGTGTTTCCTCTGAAGCCTTTTTATGAATTTTCTACTACGTTTAACTCACTAATTTTGTATCTTTAGCCAGCAGTATCTACTAACGCAACAGTAGTAGGTGTGACTGGAGTAAGTGGTCCTTATCCAAGCGAGGTATGTTCTACAGAATTTTCACCACCGATGCAGTCTATCATGGTAAGTTTACATGGCTGGGAAATTTTGATTTAAAAAGACCTTTATATTCTGGATATTTTGGAATTGTTTCTATTGTGTTCCTATCTTGCAAAATAGGTTTTTGTGGAGAAAAAGATGAGACTTTTGGTAAAAGAAATTATATGAGCTCATCAAATTGCATAACTTTTGGTTACAACTTGCTGCTAGTTATTTTCCATCACACTGGTTGCAGGAACAACCATTAGCTACTAGTAATACCAAAATGAGTGTTATACCACCGCCTTCAACGGCATTTCCAACCCTTGAGTTGTCGACATCTCTTGGAACTGAACAGCCGTACTCTGTTCAAAATAATGGCGCAAATTATGCAAATGCAAATCAAGAAGTTCAGCAACAACAACAAAATTTCACAGGAGATTCAGTGGATACGGAGGTTTTTTTTTACGTTTCTTGAGCTCGGTTCTTCAAGTTTCTTTAGACTTAAGCCAAACGAAGGATTGAAATCACATAAGAAAACTAACTGGTCAAATGAGAAATCATTTGACCAAGTTAATAATTAATCACTAAGTAGATTACTGTGTGGCGATTTATGTTTGGCATGTATTGTTTAAATTGAATTTCAATCTGGATTTTATAGAACTGCTCAACATATCATGGAATTTCTTATTAAAATTCTTTTAAAGAAGCATATATGTCATTTCAGCAGTATGGTGGAACATCGGTATCTATTCCTCAACAATCATATTATTTATCACAGCAACAGCAGCACATGCATGATCCACAATATCCACCACAGCCTCCTGTTTATAACCGTGAGTACATATTTTTCTTAATTTCAGTTTTGCTAATGTGTAGAATGGAAGATTTTATCAAGACTTCCAAGTATTCGAACCAATCAGTTCAAAAGGATAATAGAAATCCGGTTGTTAACAAGTTATAAAATCTATGGTATTCTTGCAGCTTCGTCTTCGTCTTCTCAATCAATGGTAGCGGGTATAGTACCTCAGATGTTTTCAAATTTGCCGCTTCAGCAGCAGCAACAAGGATCATACCCAATCCCACCGTTGCCCCCACAAATATCAGCATCTCCTGCAGTTCCGTTTACAAGTTCTTCACAGTTTTCGGGTTTGAATTTCCCAATGCCGCCATTAAGTACAATAGGTATTACACATCTAGCGCCCCCACCAACCACAATATCTTTTGGTTTACCGACACCATCTACGGTACCGTACGGACAACAGCAACAATCAGAAATGAATACTTACTCGGCGACGAACCCAACTTTTAAAACAGGTTTCCAGATGGCTGGAAATAATCAACTCGGTTTACCACCACAGGGTATGTTGTGAATTTTTCATGGTTTCGAGATGTGCATATTAACTAGATACAATTTATTTACTTAATTGATTTGATTTGGCTCATTTTTCGACTAATCATTGTGAGTTAAATCGGATAATTAACAAGTATTCTTAATGTTAAAATTTGGAATTAACAATTGGGCTAGCTAACATGGTTTGTTGTTTACCACTGTAAGTTTACTTCTAAAAACAATCGTGCAGACAAGTTGGATTAAGTGGTAATACAACTTGTGGTTTTCGTTGGTTGCAATTATTGGTTTGACAGTATGAAAAAAAAAACCCTTGAAACTTCGACAACTTTCGCATTATAATTCAATATTATTGTTATTACTGTACTAGACAACGTTGTTATCTTTTGGTAAAGATTGAAAAGGTGATTTAGATGTTATTAGTTTCTATTTTATATTTCGAGAGGTGGAATTTTCTGCTTTTTCTTGAAGTCCAGGAAGAAACACTGTGGGGAGAATTTACTAGGAGGGAATACCCCGATATCCCTAACAATTTTTTGCAGTGTGTCAGTAATGTTACATGGCTTTACGAAGGAGGAGCTATCAATTAAGGAAAAGAATTGATAGCTAATTTGTTTATCAGGAGTAGGTGGAATGTAAATAAAATTAAATGTGTTTTGATTTCTTAATTTGTTGATACAGGAACATCAACAAAAAGAGTATCGGTTTATTACTAAAGGATCAATTGTAGACGAAAGAAATAAAATTATTTATAAAAGTCTGAATCACCTTGTATTTTAATGACACGATATCATTTCATGTTAATTTTAATTTCCTTTATTTAGTGCCAACAACGTATTCTCAATAATAATTCTGGCCGGTTAATGCGCAATACGAATGTGATTTTGAAGGAATTGGATTTTACACACATCGATAATAAATTTTTTTATAGTGGAAATATTGAACTATGGCGTTCATTTTTTAATGTTGAAATAAAATTTAACAATTTATTGATTATTCACCGATATAAATATATAAGTAAGAAATAGATGAAAATTGTAACTAGAATTGTGGCATCTTTTTAACAATTCTTGCATCTTTTCCCATTGATTTTCAATCTTTTCGCATTGCCTTAATTTGCATGACTTTGTTACTTCTCAAATTTAGGTAAAAAGTTCGTACTTATTTATATGAAATTTCTATCACTGTGTCTTCGTTACTATGGTTTTTCGTTTGTTTCGGTTAGCTGGTGAATTAATAAGGCTCTTAATGTTGTGGCTTTCATCAGTATATTGTAGTTTTCAAATTGAAATTGTATTGCAGTTATAAATATCGGTTACTACTGATACACCACATGTATGTACTACTTCTTAATGAATCTTAAGGATATTCTTCATGAAAAAAAAAGATGGAAAATAGCAACGAATCTATTCCATTATTATTTTTTTTGGATCTTTCCCATGTCAAAAATTATAATTTATTGATCCTCCTCAACTAATAATATATCTGGTTTTATTTTTATTGGAGAAGTAAATTTCTCAAAATGATTCAAAATGAATGGTAAAATAAATTTTTTGGAACAACTGTATAAATTATTCTTTACTTATATTTATTCATTACATTTATTTTAAACGTCACCTACTTGCTCTTTTTTGATTTAAAATTTTTTGAAAGATAATACTACATAATAATGATACAAGTGCTGGATATCATTTCATTCCTTAGAAATTACAATTATACATACAAGAGTTTTTACATCATTAGTTACGTTCAACTTAGATTGAATCAAATTCAATTAATGCAATCAATTACGATTGATTGTATCCGTTAATTGTTTGGGATTGTTGACTTATTCTGTTTATTGTATGTTTCTTGATTGATTTGTTCTGCTATCCTTTTGGCTGGAAAATAAAATTCTTCACTTCATCAATACATAATTTTATTGTCAAATATAATATCAAAAAATCGGTCATGAAACCGAAATATCAGAAAGTATTTTGTTAAATGTTAAATAATCAGTGAAATTTGTCGGTCTTAACATCTCTATGACGTTACTTCCGATGCTAAAAATCTGCATGCAAAGATCATGATTTTGCAAGAGCATATCGGACGTTTAAATAAGAAACAACCTAATTTTCCCATCCACTTTGCATCAGTTTGAAATTCGAAAACGTTTCACCTTGGTTTTTTCCGATTGATTGATTATATGGTAGCGAAGTTGTGGAATTAGTGGGTAACTTCTAGATAAAATTTGATTGGTTTCCAGTTGAAACTCAAGGGTTTCACAGAAAAGAAGCACAAGATTCTCAAGAAATGGTAGAATTGTTTAGTGGTCATTTCTTAGTGACAAGAATTCTTTGCGAATAAATGTAAAATTGTTTGTTCTTTAAAAAGACTAACTTTTGTTTATTTGCAGATAGCGATGACATCGATTGAAATAGAAGCTTCGGAGTGAGTTTTGTTATTTTTCCCATACTTTGAGTTTATTTATAACTTATGCTTCACCCACTAATTTTCTTGAGTTTCTTTTTTTCGAAATGATGAAGGTGGGTTTCTATTGCCATCTGTTAATACTCATATTTAAGATAAGCATTATCATTCTTCTTCAGACAGAATTGATACCTTTTAATTTGTAAGTTTGGCAAGTGGAAGTTTCTCCGGGAAGGATAATTTTTTCCCGGGAAAGGTCAGAAATAATTTGTTGTTATTAAAATTCTTATAATTTAGCGTTGTACGTCTTGTGGAACAGTATTTGAAGGAAAATAACTTGATGCGTACATTGGCAGTTCTACAGGTTTGTCTTGTTCAAATTTTTTATTTAGTGAAATTTTAGGGTAAATTTGTACTAGCGGAACAAATTTCTTCGATAACATAAAAAAAAAAAATCAAAAATGATGTTTACCATATGACATTCGTCTAATTATTGGAATAGGTATGCCACTAACTTAAATATGCGTAGTTTTTTTAACCTTAATTGATTGGTGGCTGTCTTTCTTTAATAATTATACAAAGAAATTTGAGCATGAAAATTTGATTTCATTGTCCACATGAATAAACCTTTTCAAACGAAATGCTTGGTTTGATTATCTTTTGATTAAGATGACTGCAATTTCTAGATATATCTAGTTTGTTCTCATCAGTAGATGGGAATCTGTTCCTTATTTTCAGGAAGAAACAAACATTACGTTGAATACAGTAGATAGCATTGATTCGTTTGTGCATGATATACAAAATGGCCATTGGGATACGGTGCTTAAAGTTATTCAGCCATTAAAACTACCGGCTAAAAAGTTAATCGATTTATACGAGCAGGTACTACTTCATAATATGTTTTGCAATATATGGGATGAAGCATGTAAAGCTGCTTACATAGTTATAATGAAGTTGAAGGAGTCAACAAGATAAATATAGCATCTTGGATAAGTAGTCATACTTCAGTTGCCGAATAGAGTGCTCATAGTAAGGTAAGAAATGGACATGGTAAGATTTTTATATGTTAATTCTCAGATTGTGATTGAATTAACGGAATTGCGTGAATTGGGTTCAGCTCGACTTCTTCTGCGGCAGACCGATCCAATGCAACTACTCAAAACGACTGAGCCGGAGAGGTACTGGCGTCAACTATTATTCCAGATTTATTTCAACAGCAGCAGTACAAACCATTGCACTGGGCTGTTGCTATCGTCCATGCTTAAATCTAACTTAAATTTTACATTCTATTGCTGTTTACCTAAACCTTGACCGCTTTTCAGTTTTCGAAAAGTCTGAAATAGAAACTTAAAAATTAGTTGAAACATTGTCCATTTCTTATTCCATATTCTTCCTCAGATAATATTTTTAATATAAGATAGTTATATAGTTGTATTCCTGATTTCTTAGTGCATATTTTCTCATTTCCAGATATGCACGACTAGACAATCTTTTAGCTCGTTCCTACTTCGATCCACGTGAAGTATATCCTGATGGTAGCTCAAAAGAGAAGCGAAGAGCTGCTATTGCACAGGTTGTCTTTAAGTTTTACCAAAACATTCGTTTTGTGCTAGTAGTTTATGTGCAGTCGACTTGCAGCATGCATCTTCTGTTTTGGATTAAACTGGTATTAGTGAAATTCATCGAAAAAAGAATTTTTTTTTCAGTCTTTGTCCGCCGAAGTGAATGTTGTACCACCATCCAGGTTGCTGGCACTTTTAGCTCAAGCACTGAAATGGCAGCAACATCAAGGACTTCTTCCACCCGGTATAATTCAATAATTTCACTCTTGGAACAAAATTACGGTTCAGAATTTTTTAAAAAAAATTGTGGTTTAAAGTTCAAGAAAAAATTACGGCTTGGAATTTTTAGCACTGTTAAACAAATGTTCCTCGAATTACACAATTATAATTCGCAAAATGTTTAAAAATTGAGAAGAAAAATTGTTGAAACAACAACTTCAGTGACTATAAAACATTCTTTACCTAACGTTGTATAGCAGTGTTTCTCTTCCTAAGTGTTCGTCATAGATCTAATGTGACCCTTTGCATTCCTCACGAATACATATGATCTTCGTAGCGTTCAGGAACACAGATCGACTTATTTCGTGGTAAAGCCGCAATTCGTGAGCAGGAAGATGAACGCTATCCAACACAAATGGCACGTCAAATTAAATTTGGTAAAACAAGCTTCCCGCACTGCTCGCAGTTTTCACCAGATGGACAATACTTGGTTACTGGTTCAGTGGATGGTTTTATCGAAGTCAGTTTTCTCTTGTTTCCGAAGTTTCAATATAAAATCTTTTTCAATCAAAATATTAATAAATTTTATGGGTTCTCTTTACAGGTTTGGAATTATATGAATGGAAAGCTACGGAAGGATTTGAAGTATCAAGCACAAGATAATTTTATGATGATGGATGGCTTAGTTTTGAGTTTATGCTTCAGTCGTGATTCGGAAATGTTAGTTACAGCTAGTATGGAAGGCAAAATAAAGGTTTTTTTTGATTCATGTTACAACAGATTATAATATAATTTCTTGAAACTACAAGTAGTCATTCGTACTTTGGTAGAGGAAGTTTAATTCCTCACTTGAGTTCACCAAACTTTTATTTAGTATTTTCGAGCGGCAAACCCTTTGTGTTATACCTCTGGGTAAGAGAGCATATTTTATATCTAGTTCTCATATTTATATTTACCAAGTCTCAAAATATCTCTATAACTTCTAAAATTGAATTCAAAATTGCCTCAAATGGTGAGTAACATACTTCTCTTGCTTATCCTTCTTAGCGAAATTCAATAAATTTCAAATCGATTTCTAAGCAAATATTCTATCCATATATCTTTGTCATTTAATGAATTTCATAACATTCTTTTTACAATTCAGGTATGGAAAATACAAACGGGGCAATGTCTAAGACGTATTGAGAAAGCACATAACATGGGCATTACTAGTGTACATTTTTCTAAAGACAGTGCACATGTTCTTTCAGCATCATTTGATACGCTTGTGAAGTAAGCTATACAACTTTTTTGCTGTTATATTATCCTAATGAATTGAAAGGAACTTAGTTTGGAGGATTTTGAATATGAAGTGTTGATTTATATCCACTTTATACATTTTTAAACTGCGTTACTGTCATGAACACTATTTTCATTATTCTTTGCAGAGTTCATGGATTAAAGAGTGGTAAATGTCTGAAGGAACTTCGAGGACATACAAATTATGTCAATGATGCGAAATATACGGAGGTAGGGAGATTAATCTCGAGAGAATGACATGAAATATATTGAAATATATTTAAGTTTACGGAGAAGGGATTGATGGAAAAACGACAGCGCTGTACTTCATTCCAGTATTTTTTCGATTATACTGTATCAGTTTTAAGCTAAGTTTTCAGATTTATAGTTTTTAGGACGGCCACATGTGTGTTTCTGCTTCAAGTGATGGGACAGTAAGAGTTTGGAATTTGAAAACTTGCGAGTGCGTGAATACGGTTAGAGTGGCGAGTGATACCGTTGTAAACAGCGTGAATCCAATTCCGAAATCTGATAATCAATTCATCATTTGTAATCGGTCAAATACAATTGTTATTGTGAATATTCGAGGACAGGTGAGGAGATGTAAATTCTTAATTTATGATTTAAAGAATTTCGAATCTATTCCAAATTTTAATGCCTGTTTAAAAATGAAAAATATTCCCCACGAATTTCTTATCATGTTTCAGATTGTTAAATCGATGACTTCTGGTAAAACTGAAAACGGTAGTTTCGTTGCGTGCACACTATCTCCACGTGGTGATTGGGTCTACTGTGTTGGCGAGGACCATGTGCTTTATTGTTTTTCACTAATTACTGGCAATCTGGAAAGTACATTACCGGTATGTTGTGTAGTTCTTGTGAATGAGAGAAATAAATGGAGCAAAATAATGAATCATTGTTTAAATAAGATAAATAATTGGTACGTGAAATTTCTGAGTCTAAGGAGAAAGAAAATTAAATCTTTTTATTCCTTTTTTTACACTAATTTTTGCAGTTACATGACGATCGAGTAAATGGTTTATGTCATCATCCACATCAGAATCTGATAGCATCATATGCAGAAGATGGATTGTTGAAATTGTGGAAGCCATAAGAACATGACGTGAAATTTCGTGAAGTTTGGGTTACTAACTTATTTAGATTGCTTCATTTTAAATGAGTTTTTTTTTCCGAAATTTGTATTTAAATTGTAAAGTGCTACTATTCCGTGATGAAATAATTTTTGGTACAAGTATTACCTGAATGGTAGGCCAAATAGTAGTTTCATCTTTTTTCGTATAATGGAACTGAATTGTAAGATAGGAGGCGTATATGTAAGCACTGGTCTTAATGCATATTCTTTTCTTTGGAAAGGATATGCATTATGAATGTTATAATATTTGAGGTATCTAATTCATGAGCATTCTTGATTTAAGTGAGATTAAGGGGTGGATCGAAATGGAAAATGTTTGTTATATCAGTCTTTTTATTTTAGATATTCTCCTTTTGAATTGTTGAGTTACTATCTATTTGTTTTATCCTGTCCAATAATTCTGTTTTCTTTTTTTTTTTTCGAATATTGTTCAGTTTGCTTAATGTTATTCCTCCTGTTTCAGGTGCTAATGTCGGAAGTTTATCATTTTCTAAAGTAATTGTGCTTAAATAAATATTTTTCTTTTAGGTTTTAAATTTTCAGATTAGAATCTTGAAATTTAGACATTCATTTCCTGGAAAACTTCATGGTTTTTTCTTCTTTTTGAACTTCTTGATTGTGATTTTTTATCATTATGTAATTCATCCATTCTCTCAATGTCCGTAATTTTCAAAGCCGAAGAATCGTCACCCATGGAGGAAGTAGAACAAACTACACATCATGTTATTTATTTCAAGTAGAAATCAAAAGTTATGTTGTATTATCGCGTACCATAGACGCAAAAGTTACGTACGAATATAGTAAGAATTTGAAAAGTTTAATGTTAAGGATACTTTTGTTAGCTTGATATCATAGCTATTTCTACCTGGATTATCCAAATTTTAGTCATCAATTTTGGTCCACTTTATTAAACTGGTTATCATTCTTATTACCAGGGAAAGACATGTCACATTTATCATTAAACTGTATAAATTCCAGATTTTTCTTGATCTCTGAATTGGGAAAGAAACTGTTTTCCAAATGTTTGTTACTCTTTGTAATTGACTAAGTCATCTTTTATAGAGGAAGAATTTTACCATTTTTTTTTTTTAACAGGAAAATATTATCAACTACAAAGGGTTAATGTTTTGCAACGTTGCAAATTAGTTTGATTGTTGTCCAATGATAATGCATAAATTTGATTATAATACTCATCGACAATCATATTGCAGGGTGAATCCAAGAATTCCAATGAATAACAATACAGCTGTAGGCGTTGTTTGAATAATTCCTTAAAATAATGAAATTTTAAAAAATTCTTTTTTCTTTTGAGAGTGGTTGAAAAAAAGAAATGTTGAAAACGTCAGATTTGAGTTAAAATTGTTAGAATGTGAAAAAAAATTTTTTTCGATTATTGTCATTTTTTGATCCGTGTAATTTGTATTCCTACCTCCCTATAAAATCTCATAAATTATCTGTTTGTTGTAGTATTTTGAAATAAATTAAGACTTGAACAGGTGATCAAACAGTTAAATTAATTAATTAAAGTTAAATTAGTAGAATATACGAATTAAACTCCCTTGGTCAAAAGTAACAATTTTCAATTCAACTTTCTGTTAACAAATTTCTCTAGTTTTTCAGAAGTAAAAGTTTTTATTAGATTCTTCAGAGGTTTGGTCTGTATATATCCTAGCAAAACTGAGCTTCCTGATCCAGTAAATTCCCGGAGAGTACATAGCGCTCCTACTATTATATTTCCTAAAATATCCCATTGTATACTAAAAGTATACCTGTCGTTTCTCCTTTCATATCTTTCAATTATTATCCTATTAGGTTTTTCGCAGTAATTATTTAATTTATATGGAGAATTTAAATTTGAATTAAAATTTTAATTAACTTACCGTGGAATTTCTTGATAACGTAACAGCTACATTGAATAAATTTTGCAAATTTCACA